GTTATTTCATTATGTCCTTAGTTCAATTACATTACAGGTCACCTTCTATGTTGTTGGGTTGTTCACAAAAGAAAAGGGTGTCATCAATAACAACTGGGATCAATAAGGATATTAAGTTCTTAACTGGTACGATAACTACCCCCATGTGTTCAGTCTGTGCCTTAACTAATTTTACATGGGATGGCTCAACACCAAGAAAGTTGTCAGCTTCATCCTCATAAGAAGAAAATATGGATCCTGCATCCACATCATACGGAGTGATGCAGGCCAGCATCTTACAACTGTCATCACATTGGGTTTTTTCACATATACAATTGACATCTTGGGTGAAACAAAACCAGTTGATAACACCCCTTCTTTTGTTTTCTTTTTCTCTGAACATAACTGCTGATGAATTTCTTTTCAATGATCTAACATACTCTTTGGAATGAAAGGTTTTTCCTCTCAACTTAAGCTGCTTGAAGACCATGAAGTCTTTAGGTTCAGCTCCTAAGAAATCTATCAATGCAACATTATGGACACTACAGAGCTTCTTCTTGAAGCCCTTACCAATAAATTTACAAGACTTGGTCAACTCTCCTCGCAAGTAGTGTTGGGAATTCTTGCAGAGTTTTGTTAGGAATTCATAGGCTGGAGAATCTTTCTTTACAGAGGATAGCATCAAAGGCATCAGTTGCATCATGTTAAAAGCATTCATAATTTGTAAGTCAACATGTTGTGTCCCATGAAACATAGACATAAGATTGCCATTAAGATTTTCGAATGGGAAACAAGAATGTACCCAGAGAGGATCAAGGTTTTGTACAGTTGAGGGCAAGTGCAAAAGAGAGTGAACATTAAGTGTTAAGTATCTCTCTCCATGCAAATCTGCAAACATGTAGACAAAATAGTCTAACAAAACCTGTCCATTTTTCACATCTGCTTCAGAAATACTGTCCATTGAAAGTAAGGTGATAGCTTCAACAAAACAAATGTAATGATAAAAATACACATAAGGCAACAAACCTCGCAGAATTGTAATTGAGTGAAATAGAAGCCATGATCTTAATTCAGCAGCTTTCCAGTATTTTAAATGTTCATTTATGGATCTAGGCAGCCTCGATATGTTGGATGGTGGTTTTACAGAACAAAGCAAATTGTCAACAGAATTAACATATGGCAATAAAGAAAAACCTTGAGGCAGCATGTGCTGAAGAAAACCATAAAGGAGCAATTTAGTTACGCCTGAAAAGAACACAATGCATGTAGTCTACACTGCATGATCGAACATAATCAAAGCTGGACAGATTCATAAGAAAGGAGTAACCTTTGATTCCTTCAACTGGTTGTACAGAGCTAGCAGTTAGTGAATTTCTAACTGAATCAGTGGCGGTACGAGCTGGACCACTAGGGTCCTCTTCAACATAAGGGAATATGTGAACATTGCCACCTTTATCAGTTCGGAAGTTTTTACCTTTTTGTGTGCAAAAAAGACAACTGTGAGATCCATTGAACTGAACCATATTTAAAACAGAACTTTTTGCAGGTAGATCAGCAGTCAAAGCAATAAGAAAACAATGGCAAATAACAGATTCACCATTTACTTCAACCTGCACACCATTTGTTTCAAGGTCTGATAAAGATGCCTGAAGGGGTTCACAAAATGTACTCATACATGGCTTTGTTGACCCAAACCATATCCCATACATAAGCATATTAGTTTTGGACTTCCTTTGCTTGAATGGGAGTTCATTAACCATCAAATATACTGGCCACATGGACATTTGTGAGCTTTTAAACAACGGAACCTCATCAGTGTTGAAAGTAAATGATATGTTGTATGGATGCTTTTCTGAAAGTGGTCCATCATTGACAACAAATTGTTGATATACGTTTGAGTCATATATGTCCTCATAGTTTCTTGCATTTTTCTTCTGCCGGTGGAATCGGTGGCCCAGACCAGATACAAAAGTTTGGTTTTTGAAAAAGGAACGCAGCTGATGGTAAAGCGGGAACACAAGGAAAAAACTCTTAGAACTAGAGGCTAACAGGGACTTGGAACAAAAAGTGTTTGCGCAAATTTCTTCTTTTGACACAGGTGAATGACAGTTGTTACAATAATAGAATCTCTGCAGGGGAGATTCGAAAGAAGCCAATGTCTTTCTCAGCATATACACACTCTGCAGGGCTTTAGGTTGTGACATACAGTGCAAACGTATCAATACCAGTAATCGGCCAACATGGCACCGGTAACAGAGTGACACATACCAAACAATGATATCAGCATGATGCTTAAGCCTATGGACATCCAATGTCCATCATATATGGGCTGGTCCATTTCTGACTTGGGCTCAGCCTGGGTGCCATTCCCTTCATCTTTCTTGGCAGGTTCCTCTTCCCTCTGTTGTTGCTGGACATAATCAGTCAACAGGTCACTGATTGTGAGTCCTGAAACAATCAATGGCACATGATAATGTACAAACAAATACAAAATCATAAATGATACAAGAGAAAATGCTTGTAATTTGCTGAATAATATACTGAATAATTTATTTCACCATGCATGAACCATCCATATACATTTTGACAATGAGATAAGTCAGTTGAAGTCTATTTAAATATGGATCTGAATTAAGTAAAGTGCCATTTATGCATTTATGGATTATGAAACTGAAGGCAATAATATCCCTTAAAATTTTAGTGTATCTTCACATTCTGCAGCACTTGTGCAAGGAGCATCAAGAACGTCAGCAATGCTTTGCTTTGTGGGCTCAATTCTGAAAAGAAATTCTATATAACATGTTAGATATACAAGCGATGATCACATTATAGTGGTAATTATTCAAAACGGGCTTTTAGTCCTATAAGGCTATGACTGTGGCATTTTATCTATGAGCAATGATTATGTGTTGGTATAATATAATGTTTAAAATTCAGTTTGTCCATGGGCACATGTTGCATTATTTCTGGAATGACTCCCGATATTTTAATTTTAAATAAATCCAAATTCTTAGACCTACATGGAAAATATATTTCATAAGTCAGTCAAGGACGTAAAACAAAATACATTTTCTTTGAGCTCCTTTTGTCATCCTCTCTGTGTCCAAAATGACCTTCAGGGACACTAAAAATACAATATGCACATTTTCATTTCCGATAACATACCATTAATGTGAAAAAGCTCGCAATAAATAAATCAAATTCAAAGCAGGTTAAAATAATGTTTTAATATGCTAAATAACATATCAATTAAGGAAATGAATCAAGGTCCATGTTCACATGTTATTTATTCTTTTGTTCGTTGATGATGTTCATAGACACGCAAAAATGCAGGAAATAGGTAATAAAACAACCAGAACATTAAATTGTTAACGACAGTACACACAGACGAGAAGACTGTATGCTCATTACAGCTCTTGGCGGTCAAGGCGAGGAAATACCTATGATTTACGACCTATGCAATAACCACATGTATTACATTATTGTGGAAGTAAACTAGGCCTGAAAAGGCGATGAAACTGTGTGTCACTCGACAGATCGAAGCTAAGTTAGTTGACGCTTAGCAATAATAGAATTGACATCTGTGTACATATATTCTGCCCTTTCCCGAAAGTTTAAAGTTAAATGACTTACTTGTCTTTGACAATTTTCCTGTACTTTCTTGGCCGCAGTCTCCCAATGCTGTCTTCTTGATGATCTGAATAACGAACAAATCACGATCTTAAATATATCCGTCCATTTCTACATGCATGTCAGCACTTAAACTGGTGCTCACTACCATTTGAATTCATCAATCAGATACGTGATTGTTATCACGTCTTTCGGATTTGTGTATAGATCTACATCTTTTTACTGAGTCGCAATCACCATCTTGCGAATGTTTGAAACAGAATGTTATGAAAAACAAAACGAAACAGAAACGAATTACTAACGAGTGGTTATTCGATCTTAAAACTTTAGAAAACAAAAGTGTACAAATGTAGATGCCTGTACAAATGGCATTATATTTGGAGGAAACGTTTGGATTCCGATTTCCATATATAATCATAATATACGAATTTTGTGTTCGTTGAGAATTCTACATTTTTAATAATAGAAATTGAGTAAGTCAATCAAAAAACGGCTCCCCGAGAAAACTTACCTCCATCCGCCATGTTCAAAACTTTGTACTGGGTGGAGGTTAAATGTCTTCGAGTTGTAGGTTCGATCTATCTTTTATAATGATTTGGGTGCGGAATATGTTCCTTCGATTGGATCCTCTTTGTACTCGGTGACGGTTTAATGTCTTCGAATTGCACGTTCGATCTATCTTTATAATGACTCGGGTGCAGATACCTTTGATTGGTTCCTCTCATTCTTCTTTGAATGCAGATTAAAATATCAGTACATTCTAACTCATTTAGCAATTTTCAAAGCCGTCCATTCATCATGCGTGTCATCACATTAGGCAGTTTTGGGAACCGAAAGCCTACTCGTAAAAGTTTGGCCAACTTGTCACAACACACCATAAGCAGATGAAAATATGTACAGTGTGACAAGTCTTTTGTTTTAGGTGTGTGTGATGTCAGTACCATTTGAAAAGCTGGTCACAAGTGTGAGACGCACAGCCACATAAGTATATATACGAAGTTGACAATATAGTGGGCTGAAGCCAACTTCTGCATGGGCACAGGCTGGTCAGTTTCAGCCCCTCTCATGTCAATTATATTACCAATGTGTTTTGACTCCGATCATACCTAATAGATTTGCCTTTCACAAGCACTTGCATATAAATAGTTTGCCTTTTTCCATCAAATGTTATTAGTCTGTTCGCATCCGTCAGTACTGCCCAATCTATCCCTTTCATCAATTTGTGAGATCTGTCCACTTTTACGCTAAAAAGAATTTTGCCACAAACCTAATCAGTTTGTCCGCTTCCGTCATTATATTGTCCAAATTATCACTTTCATCAAATTTGTGAGATGTGTCCGCTTTTGAGTTGAAAAGAATACTTTTGCCACAAACGTACATCACCCTCTATGATGTCTGAAATCCATGGCAATAAGAGAGTCACCAAACCTTCGTCGAGGTACGCTGACTCCGAGTTCAGCAAGGAAGACAACGTATGTTCCCGAACAAACGGTTAACGTAAATATATTTTATAAATTATTGCCCCCTACATTGTCTACATACCAATTACCACCGAAACAACCCCCATCCAAACCAATTCTCAATTAGATATTGAACTAAATTTTAGCGTGACCTGAAAAAGAAATCCTCTTCAATGTCCATTCATGAATCGTATATTTATGTTCTTAATTTGGGAACCTCAAAACTGAAATGGAAAAACATTTTTCTATGTAATAAATATGGCTGAAGTTTAAATCATAACTTTTTTAAATGTTGGACCTTTTATTCATATAATTTACGACTGCCCCTGACTATTAACTAAAAAATAATAGGCGTAGATGTAATTGCTTGTAATATTGTGCCGGACTTCCAGATTTCACGTTTCGATCACATCGTGCTTCTCCGTAAGATTTACGGAGAGCGGCAAAGGGTGGATTGGGATATTTAGTATTTTCCCAAAACAAATTAGGTATCTGGACACTGAAATGTGAAATATGATCACATACTGTAGTCTGTGTTTATGAAATTATTAAAATATTAGATAACAATATATATTTGTTTTATTTTAAACTCTGTTTTAAACATTTTTTTTATAAAATGAAACATAGTTTGCTTTTTTACACACAAATTTCAATAGTTGTATGGTACCGTATCGCCGCCATTTTGTAACCTGCTGTTTTCACGAGGAGGTTGGTAGATGTTTTTTTAAAGAACTCTCAAGGAAGGGCAATTCTTTTACTGTAATGTATATGTTGGAAATGAAAATATAACCATCGTTCCTGTAAATGTTGTGGTTCATGAAAATTACGTTGCTTTATGCCGATTTCCCCGTCGACATGCACCATGGCTATTACGGCAGAGATCTAGAATTATGATTTGGGCTGGCACCAGGTTGTAATAATATTTGTAGTTAAGTTATTGTCAACTTTGCCTGACAGTTTAGTTTTATGTTATTAATGAATGCAACTTGACTTTTCAGCCCCCTTCCTAGTGGTGCAGTTTGAAGATAAAAAGGAAAGATATATAACAGACTTGGGAGAAGTTACAACACCTGATGATGAGCCTGTTAAGTGGGAGGGGGTTAAGGAGAAGATGCCAGTTGCTGCCTGGTGGCCAGATACTGGTTGTTTTTATGATGCCACCATCACCAGTGTGGTACTCCAAGGTCAGTTGTTTTTTTAAGTGTCAGGGGGTATATTTAATTTTAGGTTACTGTTACTAAATAAGTTATGAAACTAACTAGATGTCCTACAAAGTGCACGCATAGGTAAAGAGTTAATTTTAAAAATTTAATGTTCAATTATGACAATACTCGGAATCATAGTAAGGAATAGAGGTGTGTTACAAAATACATAATCTTTCCTGTGTTAGGTAGTCTACAACCTCTGCATTATGGAATAATTCAAACTTGAGTGTTTGAGCACTGAGTACTTGTAAATTGCATGACCATTTCTTACATTATTCTAGAACACATTTAGATTTGAGTGTGTAATGATTTTGGACATCACTATTAACTGACTGTCTAATCACAAGATCTCAACTAATTGATAACATTTAAAATCTAGTTTGGTACCTGCTTTATTTGTTGTTGTTTTCCTTCAGAATCTCCATCCAAGAGGAACAAGAAGACCAGGCTAGCATCAGCCAAGTCACAGACTAGTGGTATGTTCTGTAGCTATTAAAACATTAAACCTTTGGACTGGAACCATTTCACCTGAATGCCTTTAATGCTCTTGTTTGCAATTTATTTTTACTGTATCATGAATTATGAAGCATTGATTTTGTCATCCTGTGTAACATGTATTCTTTTTTCAACAGTTCTGAAGGCGGCAAAGAAAAATCAGCAGGAACTTCGCTCCAGACTTGCTAACCAGAGGGCAAAATCTTTGTTCACTAGCAGAGCACTCCAGCCTTCCCCATCCAGTAACTCGCATCAGCCTCCTTCCCCATCCAGTAACTCGCATCAGCCTCCTTCCCCATCCAGTAACTCGCATCAGCCTCCTTCCCCATCCACTAACTCGCATCAGCCTCCTTCCCCATCCAGTAACTCGCATCAGCCTCCTTCCCCATCCAGTAACTCGCATCAGCCTCCTTCCCCATCCACTAACTCGCATCAGCCTCCTTCCCCATCCACTAACTCGCATCAGCCTCCTTCCCCATCCACTAACTCGCATCAGCCTCCTTCCCCATCCAGTAACTCGCATCAGCCTCCTTCCCCATCCACTAACTCGCATCAGCCTCCTTCCCCATCCAGTAACTCGCATCAGCCTCCTTCCCCATCCACTAACTCGCATCAGCCTCCTTCCCCGTCCACTAACTCGCATCAGCCTCCTTCCCCGTCCACTAACTCGCATCAGCCTCCTTCCCCGTCCACTAACTCGCATCAGCCTCCTTCCCCATCCACTAACTCGCATCAGCCTTCCCCGTCCACTAACTCGCATCAGCCTTCCCCTTCCACTAACTCGCATCAGCCTTCCCCGTCCACTAACTCGCATCAGCCTTCCCCGTCCACTAACTCGCATCAACCTTCCCCGTCCACTAACTCGCATCAGCCTTCCCCATCAAGTAACTCCACCTGGCCTTCCCAGTTGCTTTACTCATCTCTGCCTTCTCGCTCACATCAACCTTCCCAGCCTTCCCAGTCACTGCACTCTCCTCAGCCTTCAAACCACTACCACAGTTCTCCCCAGCCTTTACAACCCCCCCTTGCATTTCCTAACTAGCCTTGCCTACCCCAGCCTTCCCCAGCCTTGCTGACCCAACACCCCAGCGCACAACAATGGCCTATCACAACCTACAACCCTTTTCAGCATGTATGGCAACAGTCCCCCACCCCTCAACTAACTGCCCAAGAACCTGGCGCATTTACGGCTCTGCTAAGAAGCTGTGAAGACTGCCCTTTGAAAGAAGTGCAGATACAAACGCTACAAACAGAACTAAACCTTTGGAGGGACCGAGCCCTTAAGGCCGAAGAAGAAGTTCGTGAACTTCAGACAAATGTGCCAGGTATGTTGAAACAAAGATGCTTGAAAATCATCTTTAAAAAAAAATCAGTTGCTATTCTTTTTATATGCAATACCAGTATAATAAAGGGAAATGTTAAAATAAAAAAAATGGTAAATAAATAAAATATATAAATAACACAAAAAAATAAATCTTCAGCTTGTTATCCTAGTGTTTCACATCACAACACTACCCCATAGAATAAATTTTTGTTGTTTAATATTTTGCAGACACCACAACTAAGCCGCCAACGTACAAGCCCCTTCGAGGCGTACAAGTGCCAAGATGCCATTATGTAAGTAAATGAATATGCTGTTTATAGACATTCAGCTTCCGAAATTGAATTTAATTTGCATACAGTTGTGTTTTACTTCACTACTGCATGTCATTTGAATTGCTCATAATTTTTGGGTTAACAGGTACAGCTCAGGGGAGATGACAAGCTCCCATCAGGATATCAACTACTGACTCAAGGGGCCAGCCTGGCTGTTCCCATCACATGGTATGCACATGTGATGGCAGAGTCTTGCAATGTAGGGGATAGTGGGAAACTAAAGCGCTTCATGGATGGATTTTTTTAACCCTCCGACGTTGGACAAGGCACTGCCGCAATGTTTAAAAGAAAACATGCCCTTGTATTGCAGGGTCTAGAGAGTAAGTATTATCTAAACAACTCAAATTCTCAAGTTTCATGAGGAAATTTGGTCTCATAGCTTAAATGTGTTGTGGTGGGTGAAAAGTCAGAGTAGAAGTTTCATGTCATTTGTGGCAAATCGTGTTGGATACATCCATGAGAATACAAATCCTAGTCAGTGGAGGTATGTCCCCTCACAACTGAACGCTGCAGATATTGTCAGCAGAGATGCTCAAGTTCAAACATTGGATAAAAGGGACTGATTAAACGGTTCTGAATTCCTGACTTCAACAGAAAATGATTGGCCAAAACAAGTTGTTGGCTTCAGTAACTGTGATAAACTTGAACAACAAATTCCTCAGATGGCAGTTACGATGTTGTGTGAAACAGATTTAAGAAACACCATAGCGTTTAGAACCTTCTAGGTTTTCATACTGGAAACGACTTTGCAGAGTTCTTGCATGGATTTTCAGATTCTTCAACAACTCTCGTATACCAACCTGTATCCGTAAAAAAGGTGATCTGGATCTTGAAGAAATTGAAGATGCTGAAATGAAACTGTTGACCAAAACACAGAAAGAGGCATTTTCTGAAGAATACAATGCCTTAGCTAAGGGTAAACCATTGCCCAAAACAAGAAAGATTCTATCTCTCAATCCAATGCTTGATGAAAATGGCCTCCTATGATCTGGTGGAAGATTGAAATATGCAAAGGTGTTATCTGCAGATGCTAGATTTCCCAATATACTTCCAAGACGACATTGGTTACAAAATTGATAGTAAAAAAATACCATGAAGAAGGTAATCACATGGGTACGAACAGTGTTTTGGCAGCACTATTATCAAGATTCTGGATTATTTCATCCAGGGAAGAGATTCGTGAGTGGGAGAGAGAATGTTCTTGGTGTCGACACCTGAAGACAAAACCCACACATCAAATCATGGCAGATTTTCCGGCAATTAGAGTGAAATGTTCGTTACGTGCATTTACTCAAATTGGTGTTGACTTTGCTGGCCCATTTATCACTGTGCAAGGTAGAGGAAAACGTCGACAAAAGCGATATGTTTGTCTCTTCAAGTGTCTCTTTACACGAGCTGTACACTTAGAGATGGCGTATGGACTTGACCCAGAATCCTTCTTGAACGCTGTTTTTAGAATGGCACATAGACGTGGAATGCCAAAGGAAATAATTTCAGACAATGGCACAAATTTTGTTGTAGCTGCAAAGGAGTTGAAGGTTCTTGTGTCAGAACTGGACTCAGATGCAGTAAAAACCAAACTTACAAACAAAGGAGTTATAATGGACATTCAATCGTCCTCATGCTCCTCAGTTGGTGAGGTGGTGTCTTTGAGTCCATGATTAAGTCGGCCAAACGCGCTATCTTTGCAATATTGAGCGCTGGAGATGTTACTGATGAAGAGTTAATGACTGCCTTCACAGGTGCAGAAGCTCTAGACCATTGACTTACCAGAGTGCCCATCCACAAGATGAGACACCTTTGACACCAAACCATTTCCTTCCTGGACAGACGGGAGGAGAATTCGCTCCAGAAATTGATTCATCGTTCACTCCAATGAGGAGATGGAGACAAGTCCAAGAGCTTGTGAGACATGTATGGAGACGTTGGATGAGAGGATGGTTGCTAACTCTCAATATCAGGAAAAAATGGTTCCCTCCAACCAAAGACTTTCGAGTTGATGACGTTGTGATTGTCGAGTCTCCGAATACACCTCGTGGTTGTTGGCCTCTTGGCAGGATAGTGAAGATATTTCCTGGACAGGATGGCCACGTTAGAGTCGTGGAGGTTCAAGTTGGAAAATCAAAACTTACGAGACATGTGACAATGATTTGTCCTTTAGAATGGAACAGTGATACAGAGAATTAATGTTCCAGTACAGTGAGGCTACAAAAGCAGATTTAGCATATCAGATCAGTATTTCTTGTACATAGTGAAAATAGTGGACTTTTGATCGGGAATGTTAGTTTGTTGGTTTGTTAGTTCGTCTTCGTGTTAAAATTTATTGGTATTAGTTGATAGACATGGGTCTATCATCAAGATGGGGTATGTTGTGGAGAAAAAAAAAATATAAAAAAAAAACAGACATTGTTTCGGTTCATGTAACATGAACATTTAGCATAAACGCCACATGCTTCGCAGAAATGAGATTGTGGCATTCGTTTCACGTGCAGAAAATGAATGCTGACACGTGATGCATTGCAATCGTCAGTGCAGGCTTTTCGGTCGTTGACCAATATTCGTGGTCTTGGTATAAACTAGATGGGACAATATTCGTGGCCCTTAGAAACGTAAAGTGTGTACTTGCTCCTATAGTCAATTATTCATTCCTGCATTCGTGGTCATGGACCTTGCATAGTTTCTATATTTTTCATTAAGAAGAGAATCACGTTTAGTTCCCCACATGTCATAAAAAGAGAATGACATTAAGTTCCCATTCATAGGAAGAGAATCATGTTTAGTTCCCCATTAATCATATAATTTCCAGTGGAGTAGAAAAGACGAAAGGTAGACACGTGAATGTCGCCTTCCGCTGCGCAACAACAGTTATATTGCGGTATGTCAGCTTAATGTGTGAGGAAAGCCCGAAGTGATGCAGGTCTCAGACGTTTACCACTTTGGTGAAACCCACGAGCACGGGTATAGTGCTGACAGACCTAGAAATATAATCGGCGGAACCAGGATTCGAACCCACAATCATAGGGTTCTGGCGTGCCCAAGGGACGCAACTCTGCACAACGAATTGCGGCACCTTAAGACGACTGGGCCACCCGTGCACCCTACAGATAAGAAACAAAGAAAGCAAGTACTATCATCAAGAAATAATCTAACATATTTTTTCCACATCATACTCTAAGTCGTCCCGTAAATAATGGAGCCTGGACAAGCAAACCAGTGACTGACAGTGAGAAACGTCCGATGAACTCGAGGCACCAAGACTCACAATCAACCAAGCCATTATGTCACCACTTACAATAAACATGGATTAGGGTCTGGACACTTATTCTAAACCGAAATCCAAAAGGGAATAGATGCATTAAACACACATTGTAACCTAGCAACCTATCACTTTCGACTTCGCAGAACAGTTAATAGCTAGTGGGGAATTTCGTAGCATTATAACCAGCTGGTAACCAGATTCGTTCAGTCTTTGATATCTTTTTCCTCTCATTGTCAAAAAGAATGAATCAAGTATATGAACTTTATTTGGTCCAACATTTACTGAACAGACCTAAATCAAGTTCAATATTATTCTGTTTCGTGACAAAACATGGTGAACGAAAACCAAACGAATAGTGTAGCAATTAATGTTAAATCATTGGTGTCATAAGCCTTAATTGTCTACACCAGTCTCCTTGTTACAAAAGCATTTACAATCAATATTTTGATGTTAATAATCAACAAACGATGATCAACTCACTTAATATATAATGTGATACATTTTGACTACTCACAAGCGAACGACCAGTAACTTGTCGCTGAGGTCTAACTATCGCAACACCCTGTTATAACGTGCATGTTACAGCGCCCGATTCGTTTTAATTGGAAGGAAAACATATTTATCTGAAAATGATTAATTGATTATTTTGGGGGAACATTATAAATACACAGTGTAAGCACCTTGCTTCAATGTAACGGCAATAATGCAGTTTACCAAGTGCAGCTTTGCCCACTGCCAACAGCTCAATTACCGTGCTGTCTCACTATACCATTACAGCGGCTAACGCTCGAATGCATAAATAAAACAAAATAAAAACAACCATATGATCAACATTTAGTTCAGTCAGTGCCAATTCTCAAGAATGTGTCTCTAATTTCTTCCCGAAAATACAGGTTTATTAACCTTATATTCTGCTTCAGATGTTTACAATAACTAGCCTAGTAGCCTACAGTCGACCAGAAAGTATTTCCATCGTTTAGACTGCTCATCTTCGCAGTATAACAGACATCAACTCAACCTTTCCCACATATTGAAGCGAGCGAAATTGCTGATAGTTTCAAAAGAATCAAAGTTAGTAGTGCAGTAAACTCTAAATAATACATTTCAGAAATAACAAGGATGAAATG